CACAAACGAGTCTCGAGTCAAATCCCAAGTCCTCAAAGAGTTAAAGTTAATGAGATAATTAAGTGACTAATTAAATGATGATTGTGCATTAGTGATGAACACCTGCTGTTATTGAGAATTACAGAGGATCAGATGTTGATGTTATTGGTTAAAATGATGTTGATGTCATGTAGGCTAAACATTTTTTTAATTGGACTGAATTTGTATTTAAAGGGTTAGTTCACCGCAAAATGAAAATAATGCTGCGTTTCACTCACCCCTGAAGCATCCTAGGTGTATATGACTTTCTTCTTTCAGATGAATCCACTTACATTGTACATACATCTGTGCTTTGTTGTTTATTATGAGAGAATTTGCAAGAGTCCGGTATTCAGTCAGCGAACGCGCTCTCAACTCTGAACTCTCTGAACTCCTCTGATTGGCCATTGCATTCCTAAGCTCAACAGAATTGTGTGTGATTGGTTAAAATGCGCAACACGGTAAAAACGCCTAAAATGAAATATGGTGCAACATGAGCAAATCTTAATTTAATGCCGCAATCGACACTGTCTATTCATATTCACTTTGTTAGCAACAGACGTAATAGATTTAATTTGTTTGTGCAGGGGCATTTTTGTCTAATTTAGTGGCATTTTTGCCCCAAGTCCCCGTGGCCATACAGCCTTACACACACCCCGCCTATGCGCATAAAGGTGCTCAAGTTTAAAGAAATTCAGCAAGTTTAGTTTTACTTTCCTTTTTGTTTTCATTTTGAAAAGCTTACCTTTGCTGTTTACCTCACGTTATGCTATATATATGGAGACTTTTTATTATTTATTTATTTTTTATAATTTTTTATTTGATTCCTCAGTGTTTGCTAAACGTTCTGTAATTTATTGGTCATTATGTAATACAGCATGTGGTGTATGCCATGCCTCATCTTATTCGTTTTTGTTAATACACGTTTTGTAAGCTTGTTTGACATTGTATCTTACTGTTTTATTGTGGTTGTGCTTTTTAATTAAAAATAACAATGAATCCATCTTTTGTTTTAGTCTTAAAAAGTGAAAGGTGTATAGATGTATGCAAAACAGGCAATTATCTTTTATTGTAAAACGTGACAAGATCGCGAAATCGAAAGTGAAAGCATCCGAAGCCCGGTGTAATGTGGATTTGTACTACCCCGTGAGATTTTGCTATCTCCTATTAAACAGTGGGTAGTACAATTCAACAATGAAAAATGCTACCTGTAAAATTATGGTTTATTAACGTCTACACCTACCCCAACCCTAAACCCACCCTTGTAATGCAAATACAGTAATTATGTTATATTCCCGGTTGTGGCTGGAAGGGATACAGCTATAGGAAACCAACAATAAATATTTTTTTCTACATATAAGATTGTGTTTTATTAAAGTGTACACCTACCCCAACCCTAAACCTACACTTACAGTAATGCAGATACATTAAATATTGTTGTTTAGCATGAGAAAATGGACGCGATTTTGATGTGCGCATGCGCAGTAAACCCTGGTAGGACAATCTGACAGGTAGGATAAAATGTCAGGACACCTGTTTATAACATAGCAAAAGAGGAAAAAGAACAGGTTGAATGTTAGCCACTTTCATTTTCATATAACTATAAACTATGATAAAAGTTCATCAGCATGCACTGATTAATCCCATGTTGTAGGAAAAAAAAAACGTGCTCGTGCGACCAACTGAGAAAGTTAGTCGCAAAAGAGCGACCACTGGAGTCCTGAATTGCCCAGCTCCCCGTGTCAATGATCTAGCACCCCCTCAGCACCTGCGTTCAAAATGTTCAGGCGCCGCCCCTGCCCAACCTGTATCCCGAAGCTCTCAACATCCCAGTCATCATCTTTCTACCGCACACAGGGCCGCAAACGGTGACTGCTAGTCGAACGACTGCATCCACACCATCTCTCCCTATAGCTGTGTGTATTCAAAACAATGAATGTTCCTCGATGCGCAGAATTGAGAAATGGAGGAAATACTGGAGCCTCTCCCGAGTCCATATTGCTGCTGTAGGACCTCTTGAACCTGTTTGCATGTGTATCCCAGCTCCTCTACTAACCTGTGGATTACACTTTCGTAATCATCAAGCACACTCCACTCACACATCTTCCAGACAATCTGTGGTTGTTAACGTGCAGTCACACAGTTAATGGAGGTCTGATGATAAATTATTGCATGGTCAGACGTGCCAATGCATAGGCATAGGGCCTATACATACAGCGCTCTGGGGAAATATATCCACATCCCCCACCCTGCTCCCCCCACTGGTGAGCGCAAAACAGAGAAGTGGAATATCAGAATAATTAGACATTTTTTTAGTTAGTTTAAAAATCAGATTTGGGCACAACAATCCAAACTCTAAAAATTTTAAATTATACTGAGAGACAGTTAATTGTTTGAAAACTGCTCCAAAGCAAGTATAAACGAAAGTTTCAAGCACACTTTTCATTTGAATCATTTTGATGGTGCAAGTTGAACAAAGAACTGCACAGGGTTACACGGATCCACTGCTTAGCACTGCTCTCACTACTTTACAACATCTAATACAGTGTTACAGAAAGATATCTTACACAAGATTTCAAGGGTCAAGAGCTCAACTAAAGCAAACACTGATCTCCATGATGGTGCCATCATTTTAACCAATAAAACATCAACATCTGATCCTCTGTAATTCTCAATAACAGCAGCTGTTCATCACTAATGCACAATCATCATTTAATTACTCACTTAATTATCTCATTAACTTTAACTCTTTGAGGACTTGGGATTTGACTCCAGACTGGTTTGTGATCTGAAAGGAATGACTTGGTTCCTCCTCTGCTGAAATCAGCTGCTGAGTTCATGGGTGGAATAAACATATGGCAGGACTTTTACTTTCTGACCCCTGGATTTTGCACCTCTGTATACAGTGCTATCTTGGCTGCTTTGTGTCACATGACAAGCAGCCTTGGTTTACAAGAAACTACATGGACATTTATGAGAAATGATTAGGAGTGGCTCGTCATCTGTTTTTGCGTCACACCCAAGGTTATTAAAGCTGTCTCCTCATCTGTGCGACGCAGATCGGGTTGAGATTACGAGACATTAACACAGCCAACATCAAGAATTAAGTTTAGACTTTTATTCTTATCTCAGTACGTGACATATTCCCCTCATGTACGGATGGCTGATGCTATGTTGCTGAATATACAGTACTGGTAAACATTTCTGCTGTTTATAAGGATGTAGCCTCTTCTGACCTCTTCTTCAGCATGCCAGTCTCTCTAAAACAGCACACCTTCACTGAATGTTTTATGTGTTGATGTTTCTTGCACTGCGTGGGTCCGTTTTCAATGCGTCTCGATTGTCTTACAATCTGACATCAATCACAGCTGAGACCCTACAGTGTGACATAGGGCGATCTGTCGATTTTATATTGTGATCGATCTCGAAGGCATCTACGATCTACTTTTCAAGCAAACCGTAGCGGTCGTGATCTTTTATGTCCTCGTAATAATGTTAAAACTACAGCAATGATGCCTATTATACAGAGTTGGGACTTTCAAGTCACAAGCAAGTCTCAAGTCAAATCCCAAGTCCTCAAAGAGTTAAAGTTAATGAGATAATTAAGTGAATAATTAAATGATGATTGATCATTAGTGATGAACAGCTGCTGTTAACAATCAACATCACTGAAGAAAAGAGAAACAAAATAACTACATTTGACTTTAGCCACAACCTTGGATGAAATCAACTTGACTCTTTCACAAGTTCAAAGTAATTTGCTTCTGAGTAATTGCTATGTTGTTTCTCAGCAAGTAATTGTGCATTGCCGGATCAAACCTTGAAGTAGCAGATGGACTTAAGATTTTTGTTTGCATGACATATTCATTGTAAATATGAGACCAGCATTTTGAGTCTATGCTATAGTTTCACAAGATTGATTATGCAAACATTTAATATATTTTGATTGTAATCAAGTCATCTCATGAGAACTTTCTCATTGTATAAAAACAGTTACTCACTGCATAATACTAATCGCTTTGCATCACAACTCCTCAAGCAGTGTTACAGAGAAAGATCTAACACAAGTAGTTAAGGGTCAAGAGCTCAACTAAAGCAAACACTTAATTCTCAATAACAGCAGGTGTTCATTACTAATGCACAATCATCATTAAATTACTCACTTAATTATCTCATTAACTCAAGCAAGACTTGAGACTTGCTTGTGACTTGAAAGTCCCACCTCTGGTTAACAAATAAATACATTTACAAATTACATAAAATATTGATGAGCTGTTTGTTATACAGTCCCTACACTGCTCTCTGGAATACTTGATTCTGATTGGTCAGTTCAACATACTTATTCCCAGATAACAACCGCAGACAATAGCAATGCTGAAAAACATCCTGGTTGTTAACAACCACGTTTGATATGCACAGAATCGTTCACTTAAAGGTTTTTATTTATTTATTTATTTGTTGTTGTTGTTTTTGCTCTAGGAAACAAAGTCATAATTTGTTGCTTCAATAAGTGTTTCTGAGAAAGTAAATGCACAGTGTAAATCAAGAGTGGCAAACTCAGTTCCTGGAGGGCCACAGCCCTGCACGGTTGAGATATAACCCTAATTAAACACATCTGATCCAGCTAATCTAATCATTTAGGCTTATTTGAAAACTACATGGTCTGTGTGTTGGAGCAGGGTTGGAACTAAACTCTGCAGGGCTGCGGGCCTCCAGGAACTGAGTTTGACACCCCTGGTGTAAATGATCCCATAGCATCACCTAGTGTCCAACCATCACTTAATGGTGTAATTGGTTTAAATACATTCTGTTCAGGTGCAAAATTTATGATACGTGGCAAGTCTAATACAAAGATAATATTGGCTATAGTTTGATTTCTGTTTTCAGGTAAATAAAGAATTAAGTCATACATTATGAATTCAACTGTGAAATGAAAAGGGTTAGTTTATTTTAATCTTTGTTTCACAGTGGGAAAAGATCTGATGATTGTTCTTCTGGGTAAAACTGGATCAGGAAAGAGTTCAACAGGAAACACCATCCTGGGAAAAGATGTGTTTGACATTAGTCTCTCCTCTGAATCTACAACTCAACAGTGTGAGAAACATGAGGGACATGTGGAAGGCTGGAACATCTCAGTGATTGACACACCTGGGCTGTTTCACACGTCCATGACTGAAAAACATGTGAAGGCTGAGATTGAGAAGAGTTTGCAGATGTCTGCTCCTGGTCCTCATGTGTTTCTGCTGGTCATCAGACTGGACAGATTCACAGAGGAAGAACAAAACACAGTCAAATGGATTCTGAAGAACTTTGGGGAAGATATGAAGAGATTCACCATGGTGCTGTTCACTGGAGCTGATATGTTAACTAAACCAATAGTGACATTTCTGCAGGAAAGTCAAGAGCTGCAGAAGTTAGTGGATGCATGTGGGGGAAAATATCATGTGTTTAACAATGTGAATAAGGATGGAGCTCAAATCACTGAATGGCTAGAGAAAATCAAGACAATAATGGAGAAAAATAGAGGAGACTGCTACACCACTGAGATGTTCAAGAAGACTCAGAGAAACATAGTTATGATAATGTTGAAAATAATAGCTCCTGCTTTTGTAGGTTGTGTTGTATTCTATCTGTCAAGAAGGTTCTGGTGTGACTTCCATCGTAAGATGTGGACATTTTAATTAAACCATACTTATGATGATAAAGATTACTATAATTTTTATTTTACTGTAATTTGATTTCTTTATTTTCATTGCCATTCACACATACAAAAGTAACTGAACCTTGTTTAGCAGTTTATTTTTTATTATTATTATTATTTTTTTTTTTGAAAAGGTAACTGTCTAGAAAATAAACTGTGGGTAACAAGCAAAGAACAATAAAACAATTAAAATGACTGTATTTGTTTGTTGTTTTGTTTAGTAGTTTTAAATCACACAAATTAACTATTTGATAGATCAGTTTTTTGAACCGATATTGCTGTTTGTACAGGTCTATGCTGGTATCAAAATAATAAGGTACTTTTTACATTTTAATAACTTCTAAATTTTTATCCTTTATCATGACAGAGGGAGAAAAATATCAGTTGTTCAAACTGAATTAATAAGCAAGATGTCAAGAAGCAGCGAACAACCTCTAAGTAAGTACTGAATATCTCATGGTATCATTTATCCATCCATCCATCCATCCATCCATTTTTATATTCATCAATCTATCTATTTTTCTTACTTACAGTATCAGATCTGAATATTGTTCTGTTGGGAAAGACTGGAGCAGGAAAGAGTGCATCAGGAAACACCATCTTGGGTGGAGACAGAAACACATTTGAAGTAGATTTTTCTCCCTCGTCTGTGACGAAAATTTGTAGATCAGAACAAACAGTGGTAAATGAACCAACTATAAATGTGATTGACACTGTAGGACTACCTGATACAAAAAAGGTGTTTACAGATGTTCAGCCCAAAATAGAGCAGATATTCGCTTGTACACATGGTGTTGATGTGTTTCTGCTGGTGATTAGCTTGGATGTGAAATTCACAGAGGAGAGCAGAAAAGTTGTGAAATGTATCGAGGATAATTTTGGAGCAAAGGCCTGTAAACACACAATAGTGCTCTTTACTCATGGAGATCAGTTACATGTGCCAATAGAGACTTATCTGCTAAAGTCTTCACTACTGCAGTCAGTAGTTGATCAGTGTTCAGGAGGATGTCATGTTTTTAACAACAACGATGGCGATCAATCTCAAGTCACTGAGCTTCTGAAAAAGATCGAGTCTCTGAGGAAGAAGAATGAATACAGGAGATACACCGAGCAGGACTATAAGAAGACTCAGGATGAACTTCTACGTTCAAAATGTCTTGCTGGAGCAGCAGTAGGAGGAGGAGTAGGAGGTGTATTAGGGGGAGCAGGATGTGTAGTAGCTGCTAAAGCAGGAGCAGTTGCATTAACTGCAGGAAAGATAGCAACAATAGGAGCAGCAGGAACAGTAGGAGGAGCAGCTCTGATAGCAGCAGCAGCTGGTTTTGGAGTGTATTTATTGGCAAGAAAATATGTCTGCAACTCAGAAACAGGGGAGAATAGGAACAAGAAACATAACTGAGTCGAGATTTTCCAATGATCCTGGTTTGTCATTTTACTTACATAAACTTTGGCTTTCAGATGAAAACACAATTTGTCATGCTTTCTTGGATTGTAAATAGGTAGCAGGAGAGTGAAATGTGAAATGTTTTCACATGTTACTTTACTGTTGTTAAGAAACGTCCCTTAAAGTTTATAAATGGAAACATTTGTTTGTTAGTGCATGTTAACTGTTTTTGTACTTCCTTCAAATGTTATTGTAGTTAACCCTCATGTGGTGTTCGGGTCCTTTTTGCTCTGAACATTTTATATTTTTCCCGAAAATACTAGTTAATGTTATCGCATTGGACTGAAATTTTGTGACTTCGTTCACAAAGGGTATAACTACTTCTAAAAAAAAATTTGGATAATTTTCATACTATTCTGGAGGAGATTTTTCACCTTGTTACACCCGTGATGTTACAGAGCAAAAAGGACCTGGCCTCAAAAAAATGCTTATAAATCACTCATTATGCTATATTATCAACAAAGATTGGATTCAATCTTTTTGTCAACTTTTCTTTCATTTAGGACTGGTTTTGTATTTATATTTGCTTCTGTTTAATCGTAGGCCTCATTTATCTGAGAGTAGGCACCTAATTTTTTGAGTGAAAAAAGCATTATTTATGAATAATTTTTCCAATATTAAATGAAAACTGAAGAAAATGTGCACTGTTTATCACACTAGTGTACTTTAATGTTTAATCAGGGAGTTTGTTTTGAAAGGCTTTTATTTTGTACAAAATGGCACAAAGTCACACTTGTGGTGTTCCCGGTCAAAAATGACCCGGCCTCATAAAATTGCTTATAAATCACTCATTATGCTATATTATCACCAAAGATTGGATTCAATCTTTTTGTCAACTTCTTTTCTTTCATTTAGGACTGGTTTTGTATTTATATTTGCATCTGATTAATCGTCGGCCTCATTTATCTGAAAGTAGGCACCTCATTTTTTGAGTGAAAAAAAGCATTATGAATAATTTTCACAATATTAAATAAAAACTGATGAAAATGTACACTGTTTATCACACTAGTGTACTTTAATGTTTAATCAGGGAGTTTGTTTTGAAATGCTTTTATTTTGTACAAAATGGCACAAAGTCACACTTGTGGTGTTCCCGGTCAAAAATG